CGCGCCCCAAAAAGAGATTCAGGAGAGACCCTAGTACCCCAGTTCTAATTTCTGGACGTCACCTCCCCGTTCCCTTCGCCTTACCTCCCAATTTTCTGGTCTGGCAGCAGGAGCTCTGGAAGATGCGTCTTGTCGGGTCGCCATATTCCTCGGGCCCCCGAAAGAATTAATTCTTAAGTGCTTTTAGAGATTTTCTAGGTGGCTGAGCACAATTTGGTATTTAAATCTTACCAATTAAAAACATTGTAATAGTAGAAACCAAAAACGGAAACTGAGATGGTTGAAAACAAAACTAAACAGCTTATGGAGCTGATTCAGTAAATTTAGTCCTAGACGGTGATCACCTAATGAACTGATGGTCTGTCGGAGCAGAGAAGAGTAAAGAAAACAAAAAGTCCTGAAACAAGGAGAACCAAATAGTGCCCAGGTACCACTGCTGCCTGCTCTAAAAAGGATCCCAGAGAGTGGGAGAAAAATATGGACCAAACACAAAATGATTATAAAAAGATAGGCTTGCCACTCTGAAAGAAACAAATGGAACCCCAAGATTATATAACATTTAGATACCTTTCCAACCTGGACCCGAACTCCCTCCATGACTCAATTTTCAGCTAATTAGGCCTATATAAGGGAAACAATCTTAGGGAGGTCCATATTCCTTAGAGCAGTGGTTCTCAACTTATGGGTTCTGACTCATTTGGGGGTTCAACGACCCTTTCACTGGGGGTCGCTCGATTTATAACAGTAGCAACAGTACAGTTATGAAGTAGCAACGAAAATAATTTTATGGTTGGGGGGGTTACCACGACATAAGGAACTGTGTTAATGGGTCACGGGCATTAAGAAGGTTGAGAACCACTGCCTTAGAGAAATTCAACCATACAAGATCGAAAGGGCAGTAGGTGCCCAGGAATAAAGAAGGGCAGATGGAAGTAAAAGGGAGCAGGCAGGAAGAATGCTGTTAGATGGCTGGGACTGCAATCAATGTCATTTGAATTGTTTGTTGGAAAACCAATTTTCTCTGTAAACTTTCACCAAAATCATAAGACAAAGTGAAAAATAAGTCCTAAATATGAAAAATTCATTGCATACAGCATTGGCTATTCAGAGACCTCAAAAATATCATTGTGATTTCTTACACATTACTTTAAAATAATTTCCTATGCATATATGTTGTTATGACCATTTTAATAAATATTTATTTTAAAAATTGGTTTCAAAAACTGACAAAATTACATTAAATGAAGGAGATTGTCTTTTTGTTTGTTCGTTCTTTTCTGATTATAGTCAATGATGATTGTATCAAAATTAAAACTTTGACAACTATATAGCACAACCAGTAGAGGTTGAAAATAACTTACAAAATTAATAAGAAGCCTAGAATAGTAACTAATAATGATTAAAAAAACACAAATAAAGCTGTATTTGCATTTAACAACAAACTTAAGGCAATCTTTGAATTAAATAAAAACTAGTAATATGCAGAAACTAATACCTCTTATGCAATAAAGATGGATGGTCACATTGAAGACCTACAAATTGACAGCACTGTAAGCCCTCTACACTCCTTTTTATTTCATTTCTTGGTTAAGAATCCTCATTAAGATTACTATCATGTTGAGTTAAGAATGTTTCTCCTCCCCCCAAAATACTATCATTTCTTCCACTACTCCAGATAAAATAACATAACGTTTATTATTACAAAAGGCCTGTGGTTACTACCACTGTGCCTTGTGTCGTGGTTTTTGTCTTTTTAAATGTCCAGCACTAATTGTGGTTCTTAGCAATATCTATAGTTTACTTTCTAATGCTCATGCTGTTCTTGAAAGAAGTATTATGTTAATCCTGAAAGTGCCATTCGAATTCACTCCTAAAATTTATTTTATGTGGAAAAGTTTCATTTAAAAATCTGCTATTTATATCCATCAAGATTAATACTACTACTTTTGCAGAAGAATATCAAACTCTAATGTCAAACAAGCTGTGATTCATATTCTAAGTTTACACTCTGACCTTCAGAAGGTTATCTAACTTCTCTGGGCCTTAGTTCTTGAATTACAAAAGAAAGGGCCAACAGCTCTCAAAGGGTAAGATGATGTTCAAATAGAGCTAGCACGCATGCCTGACACAAGGCTCTCTACACTATAGGTATTCAGTAAAAATCCCCCGCTCCTATTTTCTTTGTTTCTAGGGTATTTTAGGTAATTGGAGATTCATGGAAAACTATTGAATTTAATACAGTAAATAAATTAGTTTTGTGAAAAGACTCCTAAATGTCAGGTAAGAGTTGCACATTTAAAGGTAACATTCAAATAAGATCAGAAGTTCGGTTTTAAAAATGTATTTACAATTTATAGCTCACATTCAAGAGAAGACCTGCAGGGCAATGGTGACAGAAAAACAAATGAGCTACATATCTGTGTGTGATTTATTTTGTAAACATGAAGACAAATTCCCAATTTTATTAAATGCTGATGAATGCTATGGACAGGTAACAGAAAAACAGCTACTTCACAGAGCAATCTATATCATCATCAAAACATATCAAAACAGCATTTTTCTAAAGGAGACTTTTAATTAATTCAGCAGATAATAATGAGAAGTTCCCATTATTTGTCCATGAAACCTTCTAAAAAGATGCTATTTCAAACCGGATTCTAATAGAACTTGGCACATGAATTTTTACTTTACAACCACTCATTACATTTTGTCTTATACCTTCACTCACTCAGACAACCTTACATATACATACATTAATATTTAAAACACACCTGGCTTTAAAGCAGAAAATTCAATCTAAAGTTACACTTTCTACAATAAAATCAAGTCATCATAGCACTGTCTGATGTTTTGGGTCATGGAATGGAATTTCCCCATAGAGCTGTTAACATATTAAGTATACTATTATATTCAACTTTTCAATATTATGTTCTTCTATCTATAGGTAGATGTTTTTGATCAGGTGCAAGAATTCTAAGGCAACATAAGTAGTTGTTCTGCAGGACAAGTTCTGCTATCACGAGAATACAATCTACATACTTTTACAAATCTATTTTCTTCAAATGCCACTAGTGAGACAGAGGGAGACATTCATAGTCTATGGGTTGTTGGCTCAAAGGTCAGAAACTTTGTTTTAAAAAAAATATATGTATGGAATAGCACCATAGAAAGTCTTTCAGAACCAAATTGTTTTTTTTAAACCAACTTCGCATTTTTTAACACTGAATAGCAGGAAGAAAAAAAATACTAAAAGCTGCTTCAAATCTTACGAGATCCAGTTTGCTAAAAAAATAAAATTACATTAACCATGACACACCAACAATCACAACTACATCCACAACAGGTGCAGAAAATGATCAAAAGAGAAACAGTAGCAGCAGTGGTGACTGGAATATGAACCATCCAGGCAGCCTTTGAGAAGAATCCTGCACACACCGCTCAGGAGTTTTCTCATAAAGTTCACAACAAATCACAAAATTCCTTGAATTTGGTGTGAGAAGGCGCAATTTTACAGAAATAACTGAGTTTATTAATTATCTGGGCATTTACTGATATTTAAATAAGTGATGACTAGGGTTTAATTATAATACTAGACACTAATTGACATTTCAACATAGTCAGAATGTCAGTAAAATACAATGGTCTGGAGATTATTTGTGTTTTAAGAAGATTAAAGAGATTAAGCTATGCTCCAAGTGAAGATAACAAAGCTGAAATATTCCAGTTTCCAAATCACACATTTAAAGAACAAACCACCCTCAACCACTCCCGCTTTGCCCCATCAAATCTGGGCTGCATTGTGACCCAGGTACAGAGCCAAAGCAATCAATGCAGATAGGAGAAGAGGGTTTTCCAGTTTGTGACCACAGATTATTTTATTTCCCCAAATCTTGGAAAACAGTCAAAAAGTACACCCTGCGGTGTCACTGCCCAGGGAATAATCTATCTGAACTGCGAGGCATCTCTATCAAGCTGTGAAGCACAACATTCAGAATCTCCACTGGAGGGCGAGATGTCCTTCTGTCAAATTAAGCAATCCTGTCAAGCAAGGAGTTCAAATATATTGATCATTCTGATCCAGAAATTCTTTCAGTACAGACATAATTCTCATCTTATACTTTTTCTTTTGTTCCCATTCATATAAAACATTGTGCTAATATCTCCAGTTTAAAAACAATATGTCTTCTCTCCATGGTAGGCATTCCTGGTTGTTCCCATGGAGGTCTGGGTGTTAGTTTTCGGTATGCATCATATCTGGATATCGTATGCGTTTGTATCTTATATGGAATCCTTTCTTGTTGATTGTGTCATCAGTATGGAAATGTATTAAAATTGCATCCCCAATTGAATAGATCTCCTCTGGTGGCTGAAGACAAAAAACAAACAAGCAAGTAAATAACAAAGCAAGTTCCTTTTTCTTCAATGCTAATTTTGCTTGGCAATATTTTTCTTCTATTATATAAATTAGTGATACAACAATATTGCAAAGTAGTGATGAGTGCCCTCCTGATTTTGCAGATTAGAAAATGTGTTTAAGAGAAGCAATTGACACACTCAGGAAGACACACTAGTCAGGGCTATACGGAGTTTTAAACACAAATCAATCTGTTTCCAAGTTTGGGCCATGTAAAAATTTAGTGTTTTGTTTTATTCTGTTTTTCCTCCAAAGTCTTAAGCCAAATTCATTTGATTTATAAGTAAATTGAAGTTCAGGAGACCAAAGATAATAAATTGGTTTCAGAAGCTGCTCTTTAGGAGGAGATGCTTCAGAATCCAAATCCATTATTTTAAAATAGAAGTACAGAGAAGCTTTTTTTAAATCGATTTTTAGTTGCTATTGGACAGGAGTTAAACCATATTATTTAAGAAATATATGACATCAGTCAATCAAGCAAATGGAATTAATATCTGTATGCAGAAGACTGCTCGATATCAATGCAATGAGTGAGTCTTGTAATACAATGAGATGGCCATTGAAAATGCTTTTTAAAAATTTCTTAGTCAACATGACATCTTCTGTCCTTTGCCTGGTGCTCTATATTCTGCCACACAAAGCCAGTAAGCACAGTGGGAAACACACGTGACCATGCTTGAACACACAGAGGTCTGGTCTTGCCCCAATCATGAAATAAGTTGTTGTGAAGGAAATGGTGATTTGAAAGGTGTGTCTATTTATTTATTTTTGCTCTTTTATGGTTTAATTTAGGAAGGTGGCATGATTGCCAAAACATATTAGCTTATGAACACTTAGACATTTATAGTACAAAGACATGAATAAAAATTTAACACATGGAGAGCAACAAGAAACTATGTAAATATTGGTTTTAGCTGTCATCTGTGTCATGTGATATTATGCAACAAATTCATCAGAGGTGATACAGTACTAAGGAGAAAGAGAAACAACAATTTTCCATGACAGTAGTAAAAGCTCTGATAATTTATATATTAAATTTCATAAACCATTGGGTTTTTATAATGTCTATGCTATACGCTATTGGTATTATACTTACCCCTGATCCACAGAAGCGACCAAGCCCCACAGCTGCTGAGTCAGGACCATCAAAGAGCTCAATATAATCATAGCCACAGTCAGCTTCTTCCTCCACTTCAAAAGTCTGGAAGGACAACTCCAGTCGAGAGTCTCGTTCTGACACTAACAGCCACTCACAGTCTACCTGTCCAGGGTAGTTGTTATCACCAAACTGAGCATGTGAGTAGAGATCTCTGGGCTTCATTTCAGCTTTCAGTCGACCCCCACACTCTGCCCAGGAAAGAAAAGCAAGGAAACCTAATGAGCTAAGTTACATCTTCATGTAATCTACTATTCTTGAGCTTCTGTTTTCATTTCCCTCACTGGGTGCATTTTCTATAATGGGAGAATTGGGTTATGTCATGTGTACTTTTACCCTAGTCACAGACTGCCTGGGTCATAATCTCAACTCCAACACTCCCTGTCCTGGGGTTGTGGGTGAATGACTTCACTGTTCTAGTTCTCACAAGCATAAAATGTCGATAATAACAATAGTTCTTATATAGGAAGATCTTGTCAGGAGCCCTGGTGGTGTGATGCTAATATGTCGGGCTGCTAACATCAAGGTCAGCAGGTTCCAGACCACTAGCTGCTCTATGTGAGAAAGATGAGGATCTCTGCTCCCGCCAACAGCTATCCAGAATCCAAATCCATTATTTTCAACTACAAGTTCAGAGTCATGGAAACCCACAGGGGTAGTACTACTCTGATTTATAGGGTCACTATGAGTCAGTATTGAATTGACTCAATGGCCATGAGTTTGTATTTTTGGAGTTCAGATCTTGAGGATTCTATTAGATCACTTAGAACAGAGCCTGCCACATATTCATTTTCAATAAATACTCTATTATTACTTTTATACCTAAATTTATTTTGGTCTCATACATATTATTTTAATGAGATATAAGTTGTAATGTTTGCTTGACTTTAATATCAATGATTAATGAACCCAGAAACCAAAGAAATAAGAAATAACTTAAATTTCAACACAATATACAAAATTATATATTGATGTGTGTGTTTGTATTATGTAGATTTCTATATAGAATATATAGAACAAGATTACTTTTAAAAGTAATAATATTTATGTAACTTGAAGAAGTAAAAATGGGCACATCAATAATTAGTTACTTTTGTAATTTCACAATCTACTGAGTTTTATTTTGCTTGTGTGTATCATAGTTTTATAAAAAACAAAGTTATCTATTTACAGCATCTTCTCAAGGTATACATTAATAAATATATCCTCATTCAGTTATTACCTTATGACTAGGGATAAAATTAGTGTAGTATAAAACTTAAGACCAAGTTCACTGCCATTGAGTCAATGCTGACTCATAGAACTACCCTGTGTGCTTCTAGAACTGTAACTCTTTACAGAAGTAGAAAGCCCCTCTCTTCCCTATGAACTAACTGCCTGGTGACTTTGAAAACTGCAGCCCAAGTTGTTACTACTAGGCTACTAGAACTCCTTTGGTGTAGTATAGACAATATAATCTTCTAAAGAAATTTCAGGTCCCTTCCTAAGTCAGAAGCCCAAGCCTTTGTAATAACTAGAGGGTATTAAAGATAGGAGATGTCTAAAATTCCCTACCAATCAATAGACTTGCGAACAAGAAGGAGGGATAACATAAAAAGTGACACAAGGAGAAGTAAGTTGACAAGCTCTTGCTATTCAGGGGAATGAGAAGGCTTTCCCCTGGTAAAACAGCACACATCTTGGTGAATGTAGGACTACCTCTTCCATCTGATGTGAAGCATTTTGAATTTTCTGGGGGGTCAACTGGACACATTACGTCACTGGGAGTCATTGCACAATGGAGACACCATCCTCGTCAGGCTATGAAACTGGTTTAGGCTGCTACTTCTCTAAATGGATTAGGTAATTGAAATGTTTGCTTAAAATTTTCAATAAATTTATATAAAATTTTAAATAAAATAAAATAAAGGCATTGAGCCAATTCTGACTCATAATGACCTTAGACAAGGTTCTTAAGACTTTAGCTCTTTATTGGAGCTGTCACCTTCATCTTTTTCCCACAGTGAGACTGGTGGCTTTGAACTGCTAACTTCAAGGTTTGCAGCCCAAAGCTTTTCCAATAGCACCACCAGAAAACTTTATTGTGGTGTGATGATTTTAAATATTAAAGATCTCTGAATTCCCAGATACATAACCACATCAACACTCATTTACATATCTATTGGCACTATTATGGACAAATTAACATTCAGCAACCTTTGTGTGAATAATAAACCAAAAAGCTCCTAAATAGAATTCAGTACCATGAAAATTTTTCCAATATTGAACTTGATCACACAATCATTTAAAAAAATCCCCTTCTCCCCCAATCAATTTAAAAATCCCCCTGTACCAGAAAGGAATGGCATTAGAAGTTCAGTGGTAGAATTTTTCCTTCTCGTGTGAGACCCGGTGTCCCTCTCAGCCAGTACACCTCACGCATAGCCACTGGCTATCTATCCATCAGTGGTGGTTTACATGTTGTTAGAATGCTCAATGGATTCCAGCAGTTTCCAAACTAAGACTTCTAGGAAGGAAGCCCTGGCCATTTACTTCTGAAAATCAGTTAATGGCAACCCTATAGATCAGGGGTCCTCAAACTTTTTAAACAGGGGGTCAGTTCACTGTCCCTCAGACCCATTGGAGGGCCAGACTATAGTTAAAAAAAAACTATGAACAAATTCCTATGCACACTGCACATATCTTATTTTGAAGTAAAAAACAAAATGGGGCAAAAACACCTGGAGGTCTGGATAAATGTTCTCGGTGGGTCGCATGTGGACCGCGGGCTGTAGTTTGAGAAGGGTTCAATCTGCAATTTATCATGGGATTGGCACAGAACTGAGCAACTTCAGCAACCAAAGAGTAGGTATTATCAACAACACAGCCTGGTGCTTAAATGCAAGGCTGAATGCAAGAATGCCCATGAGTCTTGGAATGTCACCCTCAGATTCCCACAAACCTGAAGACAAGCATCCTCCTTTTGTAACTATGACAGGTCTTATCCCAGTAATCCACCAATTACCATCCTCTGCATGTTACAGACTTCTACAACCCAATTCTCAAACTCAAACTCGCTGCCATTGAGTCGATGCTGACTCCTAGTGACCAGCTGTGGGTTTATGAGACTGTATGGCTTACAGGAGCAGAAAGCCCGGTGATTTAAACTGCAGACCATGAAGTTTGCAGCCCAAAAGTAACCACTGCACCACCAGGGCTCTATAGCAGTCCATTTATCTGGGTCCATATCATTCAGAAGATGTGGTGTTTGTCCCTATTTTAAAATATGGATAATAATAGAACATAGATAAAACTCAGCATAGATTCTAGGAGTGTATACGTTAATATATGAAGAATGCTTCAAAGGAATTGAGTAAATAGTTAAAGCCATTTAATGTAAGGCATCATTTTCAATATTATTTTCCATTAAAGAAATCTGCTTTTCTGGGAATTTATTCATGTCAGAAATGCAAAGTCAGAAAAATAGAGAACAATTTTTAAAACTATTAAACTGCTATCCGAAAGAGAAAAAAATTAAAATTTTGGAAGCCAATAAAATATTATGAAGGGCGATGAATGTACAAATGTGCTTTACACAATTGATGTGTTTATGGATTGTGATAAGAGTCATATGAGCCCCTAATAAAATGACTAAAAAATATTTTATGGAAAGTATTTCTGAATTCAAATATAATATATACATAGTATCATTTATAGATTAAAAACAAACAGAAATTCTACCTATTCTTAAAGTTTGATATGATTGATAGGTTAACATTGTTTGCAACTTTAATAAACGTCATTGGTCAAGTTAATTTTATTCCACAGAGGGAAGCCCAGTAGGAACTCAAAGCCAAACCAAACTCACTGCTGTCCAGTCACTTCTGACTCATAAGGAGCCTACAGGACAGGGTGGAGCTGCCCCTGTGAGTTCGACGGAAAGCCTGGTGTTTTCCTCCACTGAGGTGGTTGGTGGTTTTGCATTGCTGGTCTTGCTGTTTGCAGCCCAGAGCGTAATGCACCAGGCCACCAACGCCACCAGGGTTCCTGGTCAGGAAGAACTGGAAGGAAGGAAAATTATATATGGAGGAGGCACTTGTTTTTCTGTGCCTCTTTAAAAGAAACACGGTATCATAGACCAAAAGCAAAGGAGACTATTTTAAGTCAATTCCAGTTTGGAACACAATATAGGAGGAAATAAGGTAGGCCAGGCGATTTCAAAAAGCCATTGTAAATCTGAAAATATCATTATTTAATGTTATTGAAATGTTCTACAAAAACAAATGATTTTAACTACACTTAAGTTGATTTAAAGTGTTTGAAAAAGTGCTGCAGTTCTCATTTTCCCTTTGAAGCTCACACCCTGAATTCCTATGGGTCACTGATCAAGTTATTAAATGTGTAATTAACTTTTAACCATAAAAAATGAAGGAATTTAGCAACAAATTGGGTTTTGTTCTTAAGAAGGAGCACTTGAATATCATGTGTGCAAGAAATTTTAATATGCCATTAGAACAATTCCATGTATCAGGGCTCAAGTAGAAAGAAAATGTTTTGAAAATGATGATGGCAACATATGTACAAATGTGCTTGACATAGTGGATATATGTATGGACTATGATAAGAGTGGTAAGAACCCCCAATAAAATGATTTATAAAAATTACAGGGAACAGAAGGACAATTGCTTAAGAGTGCTTTTAAAAGGTTCAAATCTGTTCTTCAAAATATGGTCAGCGTATCATTTAGCACATTTCTTTCAAAGGAAGACTTTTAAATATCATAAGTACCTTTTCTATGCATATCTTCACTTACAAAGAAGGAAGATGTAAAAACACTAGTTTAGCACTTGAGCAATATTGCTTCTAAATCAATTATTTGAAAGTACTTTATGAGCGGCCAGAGCATCTTCTATCGACTCTGGGAACTCAAAATGAGGGGTAACGAGAAGAAAAGTCTAGGGGTGACCTTCAATTTAATTTGGAGAGATGCACTTGTATATTTCCTGGTAGAGTATTAAATTCTAGGAGACCTGTAACTTGACCTCTGAAAGTTGTTAGTGGGCATTTCAATTCAATTTAATGAGATAAAAACCATTTCCCTTTCAAAATCATGAATGAACAGTATAATTTTTATACTATAGAAAAGATACCCTACCAAATACAATGGCACATGTAGAAAAAAATATTATTCACACATTTTCTCTTTCTGCATAATAGCCATATCCTCCAAGAAAAGACAGAATTTTGACCAGAAAATTGTGTTTACCTAGTTTATTATTATTATTAATAATAATTTTAATAAATCATTTTATTGGGGGCTCTTATAGCTCCTATAACAATGCTTACATCACTGTGTCTAGCACATTTGTACAGATGTTGCCATCATCCTTTTCAAAACATTTTCTTTCTACTTGAGCCCTTGGTATCACCTCCTCGTTTTTTTTCCTCCCTCCCTCATGATCCCACCCTATTGAACCTTTGATAAATTATAAATAATTATTATTTTCATATCTTACATCATATGCTATCTCCCTTCACCCATGTTTCTGTTGTTCATTAAGACTTAGAACTTGGACTGTCAGGGAAATAAAACTTTTTTCAACAAAGTCAACTTCTCATGTACAGTATTACATATGGAAAATAATAACAAGACTATTGGTACAATATTTATCACTGTACTAATAAATACATATTGCCCTAACAAATACATATTGTACTAATAAATGCCTGGTGATGCTATTCAGTAATCATTAGAGAATTCTCTGCAAGGTTGATGTCTCAAATCCATTGATCATTCTGGTGGAGAAGGAAGAGGCTGTTTATCCCTGTAAAGATTTATAAACTCACAAATCCAAAATAGGGTTGGTATGAATTGAATACACCTGATGACAGTGGATTTGGGGTGGGTTTGGTTTCAAAATTCATATGGTGGGACTCTTTTTTTCTTCTGCCTAGCATTAGGAGTCATGGTGGTGCAGTAGGTTAGGCTTCGTGCTGCTAATTCAAGGTCAGAGGATTCAAACCCATTAGCTAGCTGCTGAGGAGAATGACGAAGCTGTCTGCTACTGTAAAGATCTATCTACAGCCTTGGAAATGCGTTATGGTTTTGGCATTATCTGAATTAACTAAATGGCAGTGGAGTTAAACCAACAGTAAAATTGTACATAGAAAAATTGTACATAAAAATAAAAATTTACTTAAGCAAATTCAAATATACCCTTTATGGTTTGTCAACAATAGCCCTGCATATTCTAGAATGCAGTAATCAATTAATAAATGCACTGTACCACATAAGAAAATTGGATAGATCTCCTTAACTGGTTTCCTTATGCATAGCAGCAGAAACTGAGATATAAACTGACAATCAACTAAATTTTGCAGACTACAAGTTGATAGAAGGCAGGACTTCCTTTTATTTTCTAATAAATATCCACAAATTCATATTTGCCCTAAGTATTACTAGTAGCTTACAATGTGTTCCCAAAGCAGTAGGCAAGCAAATTATGTGTTGAAAGACTGAGGATTAGATGATGAACTTGATAAAAAGAAACCATAGGGGAGAAATAAAGAGCAGACAATATTTCAGTATTTGTGACTTCTAAAATGTAGCAATGTAAAAGTGCCTCCAAAAGGTTGGCTAAGTGTGATAAAAAAGTATACACAAGCAAAAACGAATAGCTACTGCCCAAAGTTTTGACAATAACAACTAAGGAGGAATTAGAGGTCAGGGTTCTAATTCTGTCACTAACTTTCAGTATTATTTAATTTTTTTACTCTCTACTTCCTCATTTCTGAAACAAGAGGGTGGGATTAAACAATATCAGGCACTTTTTACTCAATATGATATGGCTTACCTGTGTGCTTATGGAATAGATATGAACTAAACAGTCTAGTCAGGTATACATTTTAAATTAAGTTTTGCTTAACACATATGCAAATAATTCTGCCTCAATGTTTTTCTTCAAATAATAATGATAAATGATAATATTTTGTTGTTGTTCTTCCTAAACCACAATTTTTATATTTAGAGAAAATATTCTATAGTGGAAAGCTTTGGAGAGAGTATACATTAGTAAAAACCCAGATCTTGGCATGATTTAAGAAACGTATAAATTACTTAAACATCCAGACTTTCAATTTCTTCATCTTTAAAGTGAAAATAATAACATCTACATAATATTGCTCTATAGAGAACAGTGTATATAAAATTTCTGCAAAGCATAAGGATGCATCAAAAATATTGAGCAGATAGTATACATATACATATGATCTCAATGTATAGTCTGTATTATAATTCATTTAAAATCTACAACTAAAGATTTAATGGTTTTATATATACCGCAAATATGGGTAGAATTTATGCAAACTGGAGAGTCATGAATTTATTTACTGATAAATAACTGGGGTTGTTACTTACAAATTAGAAAACTGAAATAAGTTTTTCAAATATCTACCTCGGTAATAGCTCACCGAGGCTTAAAACACAGACTTGCTGATACACTGGGCTGTAATTGTAATTGTGATTGCTTCACTCACAAAAGAGAAAAGGGTAGTCTACCAAAATGTTTATTAAAATAAATAACAACATACATGTAAGTAATTTTGAAATACTATTCTATCAACTTTTTCAAGAATTTTAACAGCTGTGATAGCTAAGATATTCAAAAATATCTTTTGAATGCTATGTTTCAGAAAAATGCACATTAATTTTCTGCCCCTTCTATTTGTGCGACTAACTCAGAAAACTATATGCAGAAAATAAATCAAATGAATGGAAAATACCTCCATGGGTTTATATGAAACTTAGGCTCATGAAAGATTTTTCTCAAAACAATTCATAGCCCAGGAAAATAACTCATTTTCATTATTCACAAAAGTATAAAAACTATTAGACTAAATCAGATTACTCTCTCAATAATATCTTCTTTCTCACAAACTTCAATGTAAGTCTAATGCTTATGTTAAGTGAAATATACTAGAATGAAAAATAATATTGACAATGAAATGATTTAAATATAATTTTTAAACAAATGAAATAAACATAAAGCAAAAAGAATTGGGTAGTCTTGATAGAACCATTGCATAATATCATTTCATTGATAGATGTGCACTATATAGAGAATATTCTCCAAGTGTCCTTAATAGTTTGTACTTTAAGATGGCCACTAGATGTCACTTTAAGCTAAATTACTTTAGCAATTGCTTAAAACAAAAACACAAAAAAACTGAGAAAAAGGACATACCCTAGACATTTATAAAACATATTAAATTGCCTCCAATTTATAAAAATCTTTATTCTACATTTTAAAATGCTTCTATATTTTTCTAAATTGCTTCAAGAGAGTGAATTTCAAGAGAGTGAAATAAGTTATTCTTCATATTAGAATTAGGAAATAGATACTCACATACCAAAAAGGGATTAAAAAGTAAGGATCTAAGGATATCAAAATTGATCTAAAAAAGATATTAATAAAAAATCTAGGTGAAATACCTAGCTACAGATTTCTATCTGCAAACAATACACATAAATCAAATTGTTAATGTGAATGTTAAATATTTTATACATATTTTTAGATATTGTTCTACTTGAACATATTGTATTGATAATGAATTATAATGAAACTATTGTACTTCTTTCTAAGTACTCAAGAAAGAAATTTAGGAGACTGCCTATTGGTCCTGCAAATATTCACACAGTGCTTAAGTGATCATTCATCTGCTCGGCTTTGAGATTCACTTACAGTCCTGTTATGGAGCAAAAGTCACTCAATACTGTGAGGTAAACTTGACCAGAAGAGAGAAGGATGGCCTTAATTTGCTGACCTGTAGAGTGTGTGGCTTGAAAGCCCTTTCTTTGAACAGATGCATCAGAAACAAACTGAATAAACATTTTACTTCCAGTAGTTACAAGGGGCTCTGGTAACTTGTTTCCACATAGGCGTCCAAGAATTGGAGATTTGTCCGTTTCTCCATCAAATACTTCCAAATGATCATAAGCACATTCTTGATGTTGCTCAATCTCAAACTCACTAAAAGCCTATAGAACAAAAGAGAAGTGAGAGTAACAAGATGTAGAAATGGAGAGGGAGAGAGAGGAAGATGGAAGGAGGAAGGCAGAAAAGGAAGGGAGGGAAGGAAGGAGAGAGGAAGGAAGGAAGGAAGGAAGGAAGGAAGGAAGGAAGGAAGGAAGGTGGGAGGCAAAAGTCATTAAATGTTTTTTTTCTTATGGGGAGAAATACAAGCAATGGAATATATTAAAGAGTTTACAAATTATTTAATTCACTTAGAATAATATGAAAGGAATATAAAGACAACATCTTGGGAAAATATATATATAATAAGACAACATAACAGTTTCATGTGAAGTTGCATAAAACAATCTACTGAAGTATTTAAATAGAGTAGTGTAGTGGATTACACATTGGACTGCTATCTGCCAAGGTCAGCAGTTTGAAACTACCAGTCACTCAGCAAGAGAAAGATGAGGCTTTCTACTCCAGTAAAAATTTACAACTACAGACACCAACAGGGATTGTTCTACTCTATCCAATGAAGCCTCTGTGAATCACAATCAACTAAATGGCAGTGAGTTGGGGCTCTGTTTATTTGTTGAGTAATAATTTTGAATTTAATCCAGAAGATTGATCGAAAAATATTTAGTCATATTAAATGATGATTCCTATTGGCTATGATGTTCATATCAGTGCCCCAGCTTGAATATATACTACCAAACATCATTCTAGCTTTGAATATTCACACTACAAAGAAAAGTCACATAAAATGGAATATATTTTCCACAGACAATAGAATATATCTTTGTAGAATAGTTTATAGAATAACCTCACACACCATATTATTCAGGAACACTAATAGGACTTTTGAATATGTTAAAGTTATTATCAGATGGGCAGTAAGTACACTTACTTTACTTTAATTGTGCCTTAATTTAAAAAGTATATATCATGAGCATTTTAAAAGGGGCAATGTGCTTTGCATATTACTTATATGATTAAAAGGTATCCTGGTAGCAGAGTGGGTTCAGTGTTGAGCTACCAATGGCAAAGTCAGCAGTTCCAATCCAACAGCCATACCTTGGGAGGAAGAGGAAGCAGTCTGCTTCCATAAAGATTTGCAGCCTCAGAATCCCTATGTGCTATAAGGGCATTATGAGTTGGAATCAACTGGATGGCAGTGGGTTTGGAATATACATTCATACATAGAGGGATACCCAAAAAAGAAAAAAGAAAAACAATGCAGAAAACTGCTGGGTGGAGCTTTCATAGCTTTCCCTGATAGGGAACATCCAGCAACTCTATCTGAATTAGTGCACCCAGCGGCGTCACCAGGGTCACACTGAATTTTTTTGTAAAAGCAGTTTCACTCATACCTTGTTTTCTGTGATGGCCAATTTAAGAGAACAGCTGTGCGACTGTGAAATTATGTTTCCTGTGTGGGAAAAATGCTGTAGAAACTGTTGTAATGTTGAACACAGTTTACAAGGACAGCGCTATGGGAAAGACTCAAGTGTACGTATAAGTGGGTTTCTGATTTCAAGAGAGGTGAAATGTCGATTGATGACAAACCACATTCTGGATGTCCGTCAACTTCCCGAATGGATGAAAATGTCAACAACATTCATGCACTTGTGCTCGAGGACTGAAGACAGACCATTGAAGAGATGGAAAGGCCATCTGGACTCTCTTGGAGCTCATCAGTGAATTTTAACAGAAGATTTGGGAATGAGAAGGGTCACTGTGAAATTTGTGCCTCATGTTCTGACTGACCAGGAATAGGAACATCCAGGGGAAACAGGCCATGCTTTGAAAGAACAGCTCTAAAGCAACCCAGACTCCCCACCCCCCCAAGGTCATTATTGGTGACAAGACATGGTGCTATTCTGAGGACCCCAAAACCAAACATCCCTCAAGCCAGGGATATATTCCCTAAGTTCTCTCTACATTTGCCTATTCCACACCAGATCACTACTTACTATTGTTTCTGACTTTGGAGGGGTCAGCAAAGAAATAAAAGCAGCAATGTGTAGTAATTAGGGAGTAGGAGAAAAAGGAATGAAAGTTACTTTATAAAAACAAAGAAATGAAAACAAGAACTGATATCTTTCCTGTCTCCTCCCTTGTGTGCTAGTTTTGAAAAGTACACGTAAAAATGTGATAAGAAATAGTATGAGAGTCCTTCTTTGTTACAAGGACTCTGACTAACAAGGGTTGTTCAGTTCACTTAATCAGATATCATGGACAGTGTAACAACAATAGTAAAATTGATTACTAGAAGAATGACAGTAGAAATAGGAAACAGTGTAGGGAAGTACGGTGAACACAATAATAGAGTTTAATGTATCCTGAGGCACAATATGCAAAGCAGGTAATCACCAAAAGTTTATCACTTGCTCATCACAGTAATCCAGTGGCAGAGAGCAGAGTAGACATAACGCGTGGGGTGCAGACAATCTACCTGTCTACTATATCATATTTACAACTCTCCCCATGCATGCCAATTCTAGGGAAGTTGAAGACCAAAACTTCACTACTCTGATTCGCAGTGGAGGGTAGTCAGTGGCTTTTGTGCTTTTATAACTTTCTAGAGAGGAAACGAAGGTGAAAAGGTGGATTGATTTCACTGAGAGTTCTTTCTAAAAATGAAAACAAACTTTTTGATAAGTAATGCTTTTAAAGAAAACAATATTTAAGGAGAATAACTCTGAAAGTCATTGCATGTAGAATAATTATCTTCTTTAAATGTGCTTTAGAGGTATCCATCTATGAATATTAGAATCAAGGAAATCTACTTAGAAGGAAAACTTAAAATAAATTTGGAGGTAGCGGTACTCTAAAGTACTTCCTATATATAAATGTTAACAAATGTATCATAAGTTACAGGTCACAAATGTTCAGTCCATTCAAGGCCCCATTGAGAAGTAAATAAATGAGATAAAGGACAATTTCACTCCGTAAAGACACACAGGATGTCTGGAGTAAATCCTAACATCTGTTTAACAGAAAGAAGAACAGCCCACAAACTGGGTAGGCCAGGAGGAAGGGACATGATGATGCCTGGTCTGGAGCCAATTGATTTCAGCTTTTATCACATTACTAATGGATGCAGACTCCATCTGTAAGAATGATTTAAGCAAATGTTTAGTGTCTGATATATGTTTAAGCAATACAAACAACTCTTGTTCATGAAGGTATTAATAAATTTCCCCCCTAGAATAGAAACAGTTGCTTTAGATCAATGTGTGAGTGGTCCTTGTCCAGAGTCAGCTTGTCTGTAGGTCTACAAACTGAGGCAACAATGACTCCACCTGCAGGATGGGTCTCATCGGCTGTCCCTTTATAGTCTAGAGACACTTCCACATGTAGTGTTTGGGGCTGAATAGAAAAGCCCTTGTACTCCACCAAAGGGTACTCTAGGAGCCTGAGGACAGTTGGAGTATGATCTGTTATCTGTTTCTTACAACCTCAAAGAAAATTATACAATTTTTTACTTTATTTTATGGTGCTTGTAAAGCCATAAATCTATAAATTTAAATGTTTCAAAATGTGCACTTCCCAGTCTCCAGAACCAATTCCACAGAAATATCCCCAGAAGATCGTTTGGATCCCAAGAAGTCATTGCAAATTCATAATGGAGGCCAGGAGAGTTAGTGAAGCTAACCTATCTCTATGTGCAATTTCCTAAGAAATGAGTACAAAACACAGATATGGACCTGTAAGAACTCTGCATTTATGCTGAAACACTGCTTTTCTTTAACTTAACATTTTTTTCCCTACCCATTTATGCTAGGGTTTTGTAGGCATTTTGGTATTACAAAATTTTAAGTTTATTCATTTCATGATTATGCACATGATGTTACAGTTGGTAATTTAGGTTTTAGGAAGACCAGGTAAGAGTGAATAGCTCTGGTCTCTAATCTGAAATCCTAATGCATTTCCCAAGTGAAAAGATTTGGGAGTGCAACTCAAAAGACATATAATTGAACTCCTGCTGTAGGCTGTGTAAATGATAACTCTGTTTCTGGAAACCCCAAGTGAGCTTCATCTACCTGGCTGACCATAGGCCAAGCTTGCACATGCAGTTCCCTCACATGAACATTCGTAAAGCTACTTTTATTTTTAAAACTAGAGGAATTGGCTGAAGGATAAGGCTATTCAGAGTCACTGAATATATTTACAGAAGATAAGGTAACAAAGTGATAACTCTTACTGCAGAAATAAAGGGTCGGCAGGATGAGCATTTCAACTAAGAACTAAAGAGAATGATGCAGCTTGAGGAGCTGAGGGAGAAGCTGTAGCGCTCCTGAGTCCCAACCACCTTTGGGCTTTCCCTGCCTTTAGTTAAAAATGTCATTTGGTTTCCCGCAAGTTATTTCAAGTATTAGAGGCTTTGGGAAAAATGGGAAAGTGGAATATAAACCCTAGTCTTATGAGTCATAATCAAAATCCCTTTCCTTTCCATGAGTCCTCTATAATTTTGATCAAATATGAGTATAATTTTAGGCATTTATGATGGAGAATCATATAATGCTGATAGGTGTTTTTGTTTTCTAAGTATCCAACAAAAATCCTAAAACTAAAACCACTGCTGTGTTAGACCTTGTTGACTAGAGAAACAAATGAAGAGACACTGATGTGTGTAAGAGAGAGCTTCATAGCAAAGAGAAATAGTATCTTGAGAAACATCACAGCCCAGTCCAGATCAAGTCCATAATTCCAATATTAGCCCATAAGTCCAATATTAGCCCATGGATTCCTCTTCAGACTCACACAGCACATGCAATGATGCCAGATGCAGAAAGACCACAGGCCAGTGGTTAAAAGTCTGGTGTAGCATCTCAGTGCTGGCGTGCCTCTCCACATGGCTCCTCTAGCTCCAGGGCCCTGGCTGCCATCAGTGTGGCTCCACGTGGCTAGTCACAGGCCAATGAAGCAGAGAGAGGGTGTGTCCTGCCTCCAAGGAGGAAGGGAGCAAAACTCCCAGAATCCTCATGAGAAAGCCACACCCACAAGGAGGCATCAA